ATGGAGAACATGAATATCTGCTGTTTATTAACTCTCACTGCAGTTAGCCATTCACATATCAGGCCAAATGATCAATCAAGGGTCGTCATTGTCGACAGCAAAAAATCAAACTGAACCGACAAAGCTTGACCTGAAACAGCTTAATCTCCGCAAGCTCACTGCGTCAACATTCAATTCTGATCCAGATTTTTAGCCTGTTAGTTTTAGTGATTTCTGTTTTCTTTTAATAGCATCTTTAGAAAAAAAGAGATGACGGAGGTGTCGGCTTGAATGGTGATGGAGGGAATATCAGGGCGAACCAATCATGGGCAGAGTGGGGGGCAGGTTCTTCCACTTCAGCTGATTCTGGACAATAACACACAGCGACTCACCATGAGCCATCACACAATGAGATGAATTATAATCTAAAGAGAACTATCCTCATTTATCCTCATATACTCATTTGTCTGAAGAGTTCTATGTTCCTCTTTACCTTTTCTCTACCTTCTTTTGTCCTTCTCCCGACTCCATCGTACTCTCTGCCCGGTCCTCTTACCTTACTAAATATTGTGTAATTCTCTGTTTTCCAGGAGATGTCTTTTTCTCTGGAACTTAATAATTAACAAGAACTTGAAGCAGTCAATTGTAGTTTGCTTCCTATTGTAAAATCTCAATTAATTTGCATGACATGCTGATTGGCTTAGTGTGTTACGCGTCCTGTATAACCCTGTGTTAGCATGGCATCCATTTTCATGCATTTCTCTTCAGGGGCTTCTGTCAGCCTTTCATATGAGAGCCACACATTTCAGGGGAAAGATTTCATATTAGCAATTTACTTCTCTCCGGTTTTCTGGCGAGAACCATGCATCGGCGTCTTTCATCTCTCCTGCTTTTCCTCAAACTACCTTTCGCCTGACGTTTCCCCCTGCCTTCTGAGTGTGGGCCATGTGTCCCTATTTACCTCCCTCTGAATATGTCCCTCCTCATGTCATCCTCATCGCATTCTTCCCCGACTATAAACATCTCCATGCATTTTGCTCATCCCTAATAACAGGGGCCTCGCCAAAACAGATCACAATGTCTTCAAAGACTCGCTCAAATTTTTTTGATGGGGCCAAACCAATTACCATCACTGACAGCTGACAACGTATGTCGGTGAAAACCAACGACAGGAGGGTGACTGTGAATCCATTTCGCAAGCAGATGAGTTGAAGGAAGATTTCCTTGTCAGAGGTAATTAATCAAGGCAACATGACGAGACCGAGGGAAAGAGCCAAAGCAATAAAACTATTCGGTCAATCCACCTTTTCTCCTCTTCTCCTCTTTGTTTTCCCTCCACCGTGCCATCCCTCAGCCTTTTCTTCCTCTCCTCGTAACATATCTCATCCCTCCTCCTCCTGCTCGAATTCTCTTTGGACTCCAAATGCTAATTCAGTCAGGCTCTTAATCAGACATATTAATTCCATATCTCCCCTGATTGCACTAATTCCACTCTGCAGAGAGATTCCCAGCAGCATCCCTTTGGTGCAGCAGAATTTTAAAACTGTTGTGCTGAAAGCGACGTCTGCAAAAACCTTTCTTTTAAACAAATGTGTTGACAACAATTGTGTGGCAAGGATAATATGTAGAGCACGGGCCTATACACGCTGTAGTCTGTATTCTATTATGTTTTGCTGTTATCCTTCAGACCTACAGCCCTTTCAATTCTGTGGGACTTGTAGACAGCCGTGTTTTGTGTCAGTCTGAAAAGGAGCACATGTAGCTATCCTATTAAAATGAACAGACTTCATCTTACGCCAGTTTGCCAATTCCCCCCCCAAAAAAAGGAAAATCTGGCAAAAATGTCTGCTGCCTGTGAATCACTGGCTACTGACATTACGGCAGCATATCTGTATATTTCAAGAAAGTCTTGTCGTCGGTGGTAGTTTATTATTGACAGTCAATTTATTATACATGCATTCCAGTTATAATTACACACACAAGCACAAAGAGATAAACAGAATATGCCACAAAAGCCTGTAAGCTCTCATATTGTCACACGACAAACGGAGTACATGGTTGAGACGTGTATTAATTAAAATCATATTAAATTTAATTAAGTCACAGATCATGTAATTGAGAGAATTACAAAACTGCATTCTTTGTTCCAGATAATTGTATTCCATCTTAATTCCTACTTTAGAGTCTGTTAATTTGTTTTATCTTGTCTTCTTTCGATTGTTTTAATATGGCTTTGAATCCCTGTTTGCATTTGCATCATGTCAAAGGAAACAATAGAGATTTTAGTTTTTAGTTTTTGAAAAAAACCTCTTGATATAATCTCTCTGCCTCAGATCTATCTGTCTATCTATCTATCTATCTATCTGACTATCTATCTATCTATCTATCTATCTATCTATCTATCTATCTATCTATCTATCTATCTATCTGTCCTTCTTTTCCTTGTAGCGTCTGGTCACTCAGTGATGTGGCCTGGTGAGGGCCCTCTACAGAGATGGATTTACTATTAGATAATGACAAATGGCAGGCGCAGCTGAGCTGATTTCAGCACTTACTGCTCCTGTGGGAGCCTCTACTCACCACACTGCAAACCACGCTGACCATCCCCACCCAAGATTGAACGAGCGGCCGTGCATCCAATTGATTCAGCCTGACATGCATTTCTGGTCATTTCCAGCCGGTGATGTAGTGTGACCCGCGAGGTCAAAATGTGCCGCGATCTGGAGCAGGGGCGTTGACATACAGTCTTGATTTGTTGGACGCCTACTCTTTCAGAGCAGGACTTTATCTCTGAGTAAGATAAAAAGAGAGGTAAAAAATGGCTGAGTAGATCTTTGATGTCCTTCAGACTCCCGGAGATACGAGTCGAAGTTTATTCGTCTGACTGATGTTGAAGATGCAATAAGATAATAAATGCTGCCCTGCGGTCTATGCAAATCACAAGGTGACAGTAAAATGTTTCTGGAAATGCACTCACTGTGACGTAAAATCCGGTGATTCCTCTGTAAGTTATGTCAATTGCTAAAACCTGATGTTTGTGAAGTTTGTGTTTTTCTTAATTGCATCCTGGCCCACACACAGGACAGCGAGGATTAATCTGCTGTCTGTCTGCATTGGGTGTGACTTCCCTTGGTAACAGTGGCAGAGAGTGGCAGGTTTATAAAAGTCTTATGTTGGTGGAACTCATGGAAAATTATATTAGCAGCATCAACAATGTATTGTTTTATAAGTGTGTGTGTGTGTGTGTGTGTGTGCACTTAGATAATTTGATAATTGATCTTGTTGATGATAACAACAATCCTAAGGATTACACCTGCAAAACCAATATCCATCATGCTTTGCAGGTACAATTTGTAATTCTTAGCCAACTCAAGAGGAGGAGCGTTCCTCAGCTTTTGATTATGTCACTTGCATCCCGCGCTCACCATGTCCAAGTATTCAGATTTAACTCAACAGCTTTGAAACATTTACAAAAACTTTTACCATTATATGGACTAGAGCTGTAGACTTGAGACTTAAACTGAAGTCGGTCCAGTCACCGATTCACCTGAAAACACTTGAACAATCTTGTAACAAATGTTGCGTGTGTATCCACAGCCCGATAATGGCTTATTCCACAGAGCTCCATTGTTTTCCAAGAACTAAAAAAAAACAACATTGTCACTGAGCCTCACTGTTGCACAGGATGACATGTTCCCTCACTTAGATTAATGTGGGCCCTGGAGTTTATTTTGGGTGAAACTCTGATGCATTGTCCTTATACTCTCCTATTTACTCTCTATTTCCCTATATCGTCCTCGACTGTTTGACATAAAACATTTAATATTTGTTTAAAAAAATACAAATATATTCAGTATTAGTAATCTATTCTTTAAAGATTTACATCCTTGGTAGGAACACATGGGGCTCAGGCTTCATGCATAAAAATGCTGGAAGTGTTAGGAATTAATGAGGCACAGATTAATACAGTGCTGGTTCTGTTTTGTTAATGGGATTTATTGACAAAAATAAAAAAGAGAATATTAACAGCGTTGTCCCCAGGGTGTGAGACATGACTCTTTTAAGACTTGACCCGACCTCAGCAGAAACACTTTTCCTGAAAACATAAAAATATTGTCAGGCAGGCAATTATTAACTGTGAGGTCTCAGTTGCCTTGACAGGAACTTTTCTCAATTGACATGAGAATTGTCTCTGGGTTGTTTTTTTGGCTGTTTCAAAGACAACCTTCCTCTAAGCCCTTTCTACCAAATTCTCTTTTACTCTACTCCATTTGTCATCAGATGCACATTAGATCAGCAGAGATATGTTTGCAGTATTTACGGCCATTAGCCGCTGGTCATGTGGATGTAATGCAAGCTCAATGTGGAAACAGAGACGTCCAAGCCGTTATCTTAAAACAAAGTCTGGGATCAGGATCGGCCCACACAACCATGTTCCACTGGATCAAACACACACTTATTTGCACTCGCAGTTGCTGCACTGCACTAATGGATGGCAGGCGAGATGGAGAGCTTTATCTCCATTTGCTTTTGTTCCCATAATTTATTCAGCAGGGGCCATCGTCTGTCTTGTGCGTGCACGTATCTGTGTGCACACTCTACGTATGTGCACATGTTGGTGATGCTTTATGGCTTCGGCTGTCCCCTTGTCCCCGGGGAATTAGCTCTTCCGACTTACAGTAGCAAACTGTAAAGCTCCTCTTGTTAGATAGAGGTTCTCAAAGGCCCAAAAATATCAGCATCAGCAGAGTGCTGAGGAAGTGGTTGAAAGGAAAACTAACAGGATGACTCAATGATTATTTAGAAACAGTAAAGAGAATTTTGAATTAGATGTACTTTGTCCTGGGGGTTTAAAGATTGCATTTTCGGTAGATGAGTAGATACATCATAATCTTTCCAAAACAGTGCATTATTTATGCGCTGTACTCTACAGAGAAACAGAAAGTGCCCTACAAACTGCATCACTGTAAATGTGTTATCTATTTTAAAGCGATCTTACATTTTTCCTCTTGTCTTTTCAGGGCCTGAGTTACAGTGGATTGGTTGTTAACATGAGGATGATCAGAACCCCTTGGAACTGTGATTGAATTGGCAGGTAAGAGCTGAATGAACTGAAACCAGATTCTTCTTCTTGAAAAGGACTCCTGCAGTCAATATTATGCTTTCAGATTAAAAGAAAGACATAAAAAGACACTTATGCGACTCCAAATCCAAACCTTATTTATGGCCCCTGAGGTAAGTACAAAATACTCTAACCAAATTATTAAATTCAGCCATTTTCGAGGTTACCGTTCATTGAGAGCCACAGATAAGAAATGAACTATTCCGATGTGGATACACCTGTGTTTTCCATGCAGCGTTTTCTCTGAGAACGGACCTCTTCAGCCAAAATAAATCATCCTCATTATCTCAGCAAACTATGGCTGGTACATTTCCTAAAATGTGGGAACACGCCACAGTCCAAAGGTGTCTAATTCAAGCGGATTGGAAACTATAAATCACCAACAGGTTTCTCTGTCATCGGTCCGTGTATGTTGGAATTACCCTTCAGCCCGGTGTTATTTA